CTCACCGTTGCTTACACCCCCCGCTGCGCCGCCGCCTCCTCACCCTCCACTTCCTCCGGCTTGAACCTCCAAGGATTCGGTTCTGGTTTTTGATTCTGATTCTCACTCTTGGGTCTTGGTCTTGATATCCCCGGTCCTTGTTTTGTGGATTCTTTCTACTGGAGCCATTTCAGGGGCTATTGATTGGTTCCTTCCTGCTCGGGCATGCTCCTGCCTCCCAAGAGTGGTTTTTCTTACCTTAGCTTCCTGGTCTCAAATCGCCACTGCAAGTGCGACTGATTCCCAGATTTCACTGTAGTTGCTACCTTAGCTGCTCGCACTACTACTGCACCTTCCCTCCCACCCCATTAAGACTCAGCGCGCAGTCCCGTCCCCCTCCTCCACCTGCCACCATCCCATCGTTCATCATTAACCCATCCATCCACCATCAGCTTTCCGCCATCACACACGCATACACCCGCTCCATCGCATCGTCTAACCATCCTGTTGACAATCTATCAATCACTTTGTTTGACGCGTATCTTGGAATCTTCAGAGCTCTGTTGATATTCTTGTCGTTACGCGACCGTTCGTTGGTTTTACTTGCGCGCGCATACGCTGGCTGATCTGCTCATTGAGATTCATCCGTGAGCCTCTTTGACGTCGTTGTCGCATTTGTCGCACAACACGATTCCGCGTCTATATTTCATATCCCTCTATCACCAGACAAAGGTAAATCCTGCCATAGTTTTCATTCTGCGTACATCTTTGCATTCTTGCTTTCTGCGCCTTGTTTCGTCTCATTCTGTCTTGTTTGTCGTTTTTGCTTCTTCGCACACCTGTCCCGCCGCTGCCGCGACCAGTGTCTGGATTACTACGATCTTGTCTCGGTTTGGCTCAACTTCCGGCTGGAGTCTATGCCCCGGCCTGCGCTTGACTCTCCCCTTCGAGCCAAGGCCTGGCAGGCCAAATCGCACATCACAAGGCCAGGCAGGCTTCCCACTTTAAGCTCGCCATATATCTACAATTCGCCATTCACGCTCAACGACGCGCCTCTTTCTGGCTGCCAACCACGTGCGACTGGCGTTGCCTCGTTTCTGCATCTTCTCCAACCCTTCAACTCGTCAGTCCAAACATCTCTGGACACGTCGCCATCGCTTTCCCGTGGTCGCAACTTCGCCCATCCCCCGCTGGCTCGGTAGCTCTGTGATGTACTCCGCTCAGCAAACCAGCGCTGATAATGCGACAATCAATCCAGCTGCGCTCAGCTCACCTGGTAAGTTTTATAACTCTATTCTTTTCTTTTCGTGATTGTATATCCTCCACAAACCTTCCTCCATTCTTACATCATGCCATCCATACGTACAAGTGATAATATCACTTGCGATCAAACTCCATGATGAATCCATTTGCCCCGCACTACAACTTTCGCGCCCTGCGACAGGGGGATTCAAGTGTGAAATAGGTGGCGGCACTCGTTACCACCTTCAATTCAATTCAAGGTTCAAAATACTAATCAGCCTTCTCTAGTCATAGGTCTGACGCAACAACCCCAACGCCCACTCAAGCGCAGTCATTCTCCTGGAGTTTACGACGCGCCGCAGCTTGGCGATGACGGTATGTCGGCGATTAGTACTCCGCCGCTACTTTACTCATTTCGGCACCCGACTACCTTGCGCCAGACACGGCGATCAATTGCGATTCCTTTTCAATTGCTGTTTTTGCTCATATGCTTTATGTCGTATTTCGCTGCAGTATTTGGGGGCTCAAAAATGCAACTGGTGAGAGAACGTGCTGACCTATCTTGCAACCTGCAGGTGATACAAAACCACTTCGAAAGAAGGCAAGACCGATGAATAAACGATCAACAGGGAGCATTTCTGAGGCTCCCGGGCAGGCGGGGGGCTCGACCCTTCCTCAGACTATTCCTCCGCCGCAGACTCCCCAATCTCAAGGCTCAGCGCTGCCACAAACGAGCCCTGCCTATACGCCGCAGACACAGATGCCCCCGAAGACCACTCCGACAAAGTCAACGCTGAAGGCTCTGCCCACTGTGCGAGACCACACGACCGACCAGCTCAATCCGACTGGAGATGAGTATATTCCCCGCGAAATCGATGAGTTTGGAGAGAAGAAAGTCCAGCTTAACGGCACGCTCAACGGAGGACGTGAATACAAGTGCCGAACATTCTTGGTACCTAACCGCGGGGATAAATTGTTCATGTTGGCTACCGAATGTGCTAGGGTTTTGGGTTACCGTGATTCGTACCTCTTATTCAACAAGAACAGGTCTCTGTACAAGATCATCGCAAGCCAGGCCGAAAAGGATGATCTGGTTGGGCAAGAAATCCTCCCCTTCTCATATCGATCCAGGCAGATTGCCATCGTCACCGCCAGGTCCATGTTCCGACAGTTTGGAAGCCGTGTGATTGTCAATGGCCGCAGAGTTCGCGATGACTATTGGGAAACCAAGGCCCGGAAACAGGGATTCACCGAGGCTGACCTTGCCGGTGAGAAGCGCCCCGGTGCTACGAAGGCAAGAGAGGCGGCCGAGGCCCAGCAGAACAACGTCTTGTTAGCTGGTCCCCATCCAGAGATTGTGTATAGCAACAACCCAGGACCGTTCCCCGGCCCCCCGCAGCCGCACCTCGTTCAACCAGGTATGATCGGACCACCACCCGGAACCACGACAAGAATGCCCGGATTGACACTAGGATCAGACCTAAGCGACTCCCGGCCGCGCGATTATTCCGGAATTCTCAAAGGTGGACCTCGTCAGGAGATCACCGGCCCTGCTTACCAAGACCAGACCCGTCCTTCGCCCCTCGGGGAGCTTAACGCCCAGGCCCATCATGCCGCAGATTTCAATAGGTCAGTTAACCAGCAGCGGGATATGCGCAACGACTACCTCCAAGGCGTTTGGCGACGCCCACATGAGCAGCCCCCCTCCAATCTGACCCAGCAGCCTGTGGCCTCGGCCGACAGTTCCAACACGGCGACCAGCAGGCCTTCACACTCACCTCATACCACGGCTACGGCCATGTCGCAGCAGCCTGGATTGGTTTCCACTCAGAGCCCTCAAATGATGATGACCACTGCGCCCTACTCCCAGTCAATCAGCGCGCAGAGCAGTCTCAGTCAAGCGCCCATGAGGGGTATGGCTCAATCACCCACGCAATCGATCAGACCAACACTTCCCGGTACAGGGGGCTCCATGTCACAGGGAACGCCTGGTTACAACTACCAGTCGGGTCAGATGTGGCCGCAGACTCCACAGGCGCCCCAGCATGGCTACGGCAGCTATACTGCTCAGTCCCAAGCACCTCACCCGTCGCAGTCACCTTCGCATCTCCGTCAAGGGAGCTCGGGCCAGATGCAAAGTATGCAGTTCCCCGGCATGGCTGGTATGCAATATGGTGCGGGTCAAAGCATGTATCCTGCAGATCAAACGCCTCGCCAATACATGCCTCAAGGTGGCGCTGGTGGACCATCAGTCTCTCAAGGCTGGTCTGGCCAGCATTCACCAGCACAGCAGTGGTGGACTCCAGGCCAGCAGCCTCAATAATTTTGTAAACACCAGCTGCTGATGCGAAACGATGGAATGATTATAGCCCACGGTCTCACCTGCTTCCGTTGAGAAATCCAATCTGATAGTGTGGTTTGTTTGTGTTTTTTCTCCCATTTTCTCTTTTGATTTCTCTTATTTCTTTCTTGGCCTATACTGGGTTTACATACGACTTGAACCAGAAGACGGCTATCTTCTTGGTCTGATTTCCTCCCTCCTGGGTCTCCAGGTATGCTGATGAGTGGAGGGGCTATGTGCATCTCGAGGGGCCTCCTGGCTTGAAGAATTGCTAATAGTATTTGGACTGGCTGGGATAGAGGAGTCGGACAGGACAGGGACACATGATTGTTGATTTTTATTCTATTTTTTCTTCTTCTATTTGTGGGTTTTGATGCGGTAGTAAGTCTGGTTAGGTACATTCACGGGGGTAACATGCCCTGCTGCTATTGTTTTGTTGTTGTTATATGTTTACCGGGCCATTCTGTTGGATGCAGGTATATGGGCTTACTCTGATGTTATTTGCGCAGATTATTGGTTTCGTTTGATTTGGTTGTTCTGGTGGTACTGCGGATGAGTTTTCCACTGCGACTCGTCTGTGCGTTGTCGCTGGATACTATTTGTGTTGGCGAGGCATACATCTATTAGGCTTTCATTTTGATACCACGTCACTCTTCGATTCGTCCTTTTTAAACATTTCTTTCTTCCTGGGGTACAACGTACCAGTCGTGACGCGTGTGTATACATGTGCGACATGTGAGTGTCACTCGAGAGGGGTGTGATACCAACTGGGTGACATACTGAGGATTTGATTGTTGGCTCAGATTTGATAGTTCATGTCTATACTATAGTCTTACCTGGGGTACTTTGCGGCTTTGCTTGCTGCGTAAATAATGATGATGCTTGATGAGATGTTTAGGGTCTTGATTAATCTTGTTGCGTCGTGATGTTCTTAGCACCATGAGCTGAGGCTCATGTCAATCAGTATCGAAGCTGTGCAACGAACCCAGACTCGACTTGCTGTTCGTGTCTGTTCATGCAATACACAGCCACGACAGCATGTTTTGACCCGGCCCAGCGAATCGGGCAGCCTGGGATGTTGCCGCCCAATATTTAGAGCCTGTGTACTACATTTGAAGTGACAGCACGGTAACACCCGCCGGGATGTTTCCGCCGGGACAGTATTCGCAACGGGGCTTATCTTGTGAGAGGGTAAGGAATGCGGAGTGTCTGGAGGGTGTTGACAAGGTGCGTAGTACGACAGTTGAGATTTAGGTTTCAACTGTACAACAAACTACAGTAGAAATTATCATACCCGCTCAGCCGTGTAGGTACAAGCAAGGCAACTGGAGGAAAGTAAACTAGATTATCGTGTCAATAAATTGTGTGACAGTGGCACCATGAACACCAGAGTCGTTCATCCAGCCCCTAGGCCGGATGGCTAACTACTTTTTTTTTTCTAATCACTCTCATCCCCATCCAATGCCTCGTCTCTCTCCTCTTTCCCTTCCTTGAGCTCAAGGGCATCCTGGGTATCATCGCCACTAGCTTCTGCCTCCTCCTCCTCCTCCTCCTCCTCCTCCTCCTCTTCTTCGACTTCGTCGTCCTCTGAATCTTCGGGGATCTCAACCTCATCCTCCGTCACGGCATCCTCCTCTGCCTCTGCATTTCCAGGCTCTACACGGGGGCGCTTAGCTAGAGGGCCTGTTGAGACAGCTGTTGTGTCTGTGTCGGCTTCTATGTTAGAGGTGTCTGGCATGTCAGTGTCTGGCCCGTCTGACTTTTTGGCGCGGACTTTTTGACGGTAAGATGTGCGCTTTTCAGTCTGGATAGCGTTGAACTCTGGGTAGGGTATTAGCAATCTTGTAATATACAAACTGTCACGCACCAAAAGACACGGCAGGGGCCATAAAGAGACATACTGGAAAATTCAGCTTCGAGAGGTTCCTTGAGGAACGCGAACTCGGTCTCCTCAAGAGCCTTGAAGACATCTGCAGGGGAGATTGTCTTTTTGCCTGCATTGACGGTGTTTTCATTGGCGCTAACTCGCAATTAGTGATTTTCTCTTGCGGGGGAGAAGGAGACTTCACGCACTGAGACGCTAGGTAATTGATAAATACTGTGGTGCTCTGGCTTAGAGCCATGATGGCATTGGCCTGGATCTGTGTGTTGGGGGGTAGAACACCCTTGGACAGACGCGTTATTATAGACTTTGGGAGGGTCAAGTCCTATTGTTCGAATCAGTCAGTCAGTCAGTCATTGGTTCCAAGCGTCCCTTGTGGATAGATTTGGACACTCGGTGATTGGGAGGGGTGTGGGTTGCTGTTCTTGAGCTTACCTCGATTGTAATGTGTTCCTTATGCTCTTTATCCTTGTCCTTATCCTTCTTGTCTGGATTCTGAGTCATAGAAGTGTCCGCTTCAGCTTCTGTAACAGCAGTCTCACTGGCAGCTTGCGGTGCTGGTGCTGGTGCAGCAGGTACTTGTGTGGCCATGGAATCGTTGTCATGTGTCGGAGCGGGTGCTGGACTTTGCTCCAAGGGTGACACATCATCCATCGGGACAAATCGTGCAGTTGAAGTGTCGCTCTTTCGCGAGCTAGACTTGCGAGGTGGCATTGTCAATGATGGTGAGAATAGTATGTTGATGCTAGGAAGAGATGCTTTAGATGTGGCTGTGCAGATCTTGCTACCCAGGTATAAAGTTGAGATGAGGCAAAGGGATGCTTTGGTCGAACAGCAATGTTGTCTCCTTATTGTACTTGACGAGTATCAGAGGGAGTACCTCTGATATGACGACCACTTGGTCACTCTCTTCTGAACCCCTTTCTGGTGATGGTCTCAAGTCGGATATTGGAGAGCAAGGAATGTCGAGGTTAGTACTGGTCCCTACTTTGTTGGTCAAGATTCGTTTACGCTGCAAGAACTCAATCTCGATGCTTGCGGACGCTGTAGATCCTGACCAAGATAATTCGTTGTTGGCTTGAAATTTAGTGAGAGCACAAGTGAACTTGGACTGAGGTTGAGAGCAAGTTTAGTGAACGCGCCAAATGGGATTGAGACGGGATGTGGCTGGACGCGACATGTGCCCCGCCGTGAGTGGCTAGGGACGCGTTAAGTGGTTTCTTAGTGGAACAGGGCTGCTACCTTAGGAACAGAGTGCGATTCTACCTACCTATGCAAAGTAAAGCCAATGGTATATCAATTAAACTTCATATAAAGACGTTTTTAGAACATGACGGGTACAAGGCTAACTGTGTCGATCTAAAGTTTAATCTTGTTCATCTTGATTGCGTCAGTGGAATCACTTCGTCTATCAGTCCGATGCGCCCAAGATTCAAGCAAGGGTTTAAGTAAACACGAAGGGAGGGTTTGTTGTCAATCTGTTGAAATTGGAGTGCATATCTATATATACCTATACATATATATAGCTTTCGTATAGGTGTTCGGCACGTGAGTGATAGTGCCAAGGACTTATTTGTCTGTCCAGCTCCGTATCTTATAGGAGAACTCTCGTCGCCAGGCTCGAGTCAGCCGTGGACATCATCTGCTTCGTATGAAACGGGCTGTCTTGTATCCGTTCATATCACTTGCTCGCTTGGTCATGATAACATAAAAAGAAAATAATAAAGGAAAGTCTGGGGTATATCCGTCATTAAAATGCACACAAAATCCTCCGCGTTCCAGCCGGGCATAGACGCCAGCGCATAAAATCATGGTCCCCTCGGCGTCCAAATGCCAAGGGTAAAATGAGGCGGACTCAACCGGTCTCATGGTTACTGCCTCTTCTAGGAGAGGAGTGAGAAGCGAAGATGGAAAAGGACAGTGGGTTCTTGCGTATTCGTGAAGAGAATGTAAGTGGGTGTGTTTGAGGTCGAGGCTTGGGGTAGAGTTGCGTCGAGCGGTAATAAAGCCGAATCTCTTGGTCATTAACGAGATGAAGCAATATCTTCAGGTTAATGCCGAGGAGCCTATCACGATCGAATTGCCTCCGAGTGACAGCGGCAATGGAATGGCAATGTTTCTATGGACCAGATAGTCTAGTCCTTCTAGAAATGGGTCAAAAATGATCTCGGCCCCGCCAATTTTGACTGTGACTGGGGTGTTGATGGGGTTTGACGGGGGTTGAAACAAGCCGTCACGGAAACCGTTTCTTGATACGGCTCGGGATGGTAATCAACGATACAGGGGTACGCATGTCGTATTGTATTGGTTCTCAGTGACAGTATCGTCAGATTCTTCTGGCTCAGCCGATGGCCCTGCCAATCTCTGATTTGCGGATCAAAGGTCGCGGTGAGAGACCTCCCAGGAAGACTTCGTCGTCGAATGAGAGTCGGTTCATGTTTGACATGGAGTGCATTCGCTGGTGCTGTCGTCGAATATCTAATGACCGATTTGCTCTGGGCAGGTATTCGCTGGAACTGCGAGCGCCGAAGAAGGCATCGGGATAGTGACCGTGCCAGGGATCACGGGGTGATACTGCGCTCATAGTGCTGCTGCGGCTGCTGCGAGTTCGACTGTGGCGAGCAGAGGGGGGGAGCTTGGCTAATCGTGAAGGTTGACGCTTCACAGGTGGGATGAAGGCATCTTCACCCTGGACGGCCTCATCAGTCAGACCGGGACGAGAATTGGGAGCACGGGCAACGACTGGGGTTGAAGGGGCATCGATGCTGTGCTTGTGGTGAAGTGAGCGTGGTGAGAGTTCCTCAGAGACTCGGGGATGAGGACGATCGTAGACAATAACACTCGGAGGTTTGCGAATGGAACTAAACGATGTGCTCTTCTGTCTCTGATGCTGGAGTTGTCGCTCTAGTTCATTGGCTTCGTTGTTTGCAGCCTCGATGATGCGTGTCTTTTCTTGGTTCCTGTCCTTTTTCCACGACTCAATTTCCTCGTCGCCGATGGGGGTGATGCCTCTGTTCATGAAGAGAAATCGACGTTGGCGGTTGCGGCGGTAGAGGAAACATCCGACTGCGGTGATGGCGGTGACGGGAACCACGGTCGCGAGGACAATGATGAGAGCTTGGAGGTGTGAGTCCTTCATGGTTATATCTCCATTCTGTGTCTGTATGTGAAGACTTCAGAGGGAGGCGTAGTGAGGTTGACAAGTACTAGTATAGTCACTCCAATGTTGACCAAAGGTATGGTGGAAAGAAGAGAAGGTGAGCGAATGTTGAGCTTGGAAGATATAGTATACACTTCCGAGTTCAGGTCAACTAGGAGACAGTTAGTTATTGTACTAGATCATTTGTATGTACAGTATAAACTGGATGAGATGTGAGATGATGGGTGGTGTCCATGCATATCAATGCACCGACCACTACCTATATCATCGATGTAACAGGCATATATTAAACGGGCAATGTTCACTAACAATCAAGCGACTACTCGAGATTGAGCTTTGGTGATAATCGGATCAAGTGAAATTGAATTCACTCGGTTCGATTGAAACTCGATTCGACAGTCGGTATAAGTCAATCCCAAGGTATTGACGTTGGGTGGGACGTCGGTAGAGATGGGATGAGATGAGAGGAGTATAGGTGAAGGTATATCGACCAGGAACTCAAAGGCCCTGTATAAGACACAGGCAGGACGAAGGTCAAGAGATCAGAATGTGAATTGGGGGGCAGTTGAAGCTATATACAGACTGGGGGTTTCAAAGAGTGGGAAAGGGTGTGTAGACTAACGTACATGGGGGAGAGTGAGGATGGAGGTCTAGGATCGTCATGGCCAGCGAGCATGCAACGCCAGATGTTAGTCTTTACTAAGAAAAACGTGCTGTACAGCATGTATGTACCTAGCTAGTCAAGAATAAGAACAAGATATGAGAGACATGCGAGATGGTGAGAGACAGGAGGTGTCCTCGGGGGGCAAGAAAACTTAGACCTGGATATAGGGTATCAAAAATAAACTTAGCAAAGGATATCCTAAACTTAGTAAAAGTTACCCTAAATTTATCCTAAGTTACCTAAGTCATTTTGTCACTTAGGATCAAGGTCCTGAGTATTCTTTCCTCCCCTAGGGTGTGAAGGCTCACTCGAGTGGGTGTGGACTATGGTGGATAGTGAGTGGATAGGGGGTGAGACTAGGCTCTGAGCTGCTGATACATGAAACCCTGGTCTACAAACCACCAAAGAGGTCTGGTCTACAGTATTATCGATCAAGAGGTCGACTTCTAATTACAGCCAGCAGAGTTGCATCTCTTTTCGTCAACCTGCAGGGTTGGTTGAGAAATGCCCTGCATTGCATTGCATTGTTCAAGAGTCGCAAAGAGACAAAGACCTCACTCACATTAAAGTGTCAATGTATGGAGAAACAGGAAACAAGACGCAGCCAATCTGAATCGTCCTCCAAGTCTGTGCCTGAACCAGTTGAAACTGAAAATTCCCGCACAACCAATCCGACTCGACTCGTGCCTTGCGTCGCACAATCTTTTTTGTCCCTCATCATGTGTCAGTTTATTCACTGAAGACACAGTGGATACCCATCTCCCCCCCCCCCCCCCCCGCACGGTTCAGGACGTTTTAGGGCCACGCAGTTTTTTAGGCCAGGCCCCAGAGGGAACTGACTATTCTAGTTGGAGTCGGTCGTCCGGACCTGAGGGGCAGGAGACAGGGGATATTGATGGACTCTAGCGCCATGGCGTTGATGGGTTGGAGGAGCATCATGAACGTGGCACACTCAGGGACGAACAGTCCCTATTCTCTGTGCATACGATCTACTGGAGCACACAGGGGTCATGAGTGGTGAGTGTGGTGAGTGAGCAGCTCAATTCAGTGATTACTGATTACCGTGTATCTACGGAGAATGGATGACAATGATGGGCATCTCTCAGAACCACAGAACAGTAATTACCTATTTCAACAGCCTGAGATAGCTTCATGTGCTATTAAGGCACCCCAATTCTAATGAACTAGTATCCAAGGGACTAAGGCACCTTATATCAAGAACACTCTTATAGGGGAGACTTGCGTAGAACCCTCATAAATTCCAATTTACTTTGTAGAGATAAAGCAGCAGGAACTGATGTACCACTTACTGTACTTGCACATTAGGTTTCTACGCCAAATCTGTTCCTGGCAGTTGCTGAAAATAGTTCCTTCCCTGAAATCTCTTGATCTACCACCTACGAGGCAATAGGTAGCAAACCGAATCCCAACAACCCTCACATAATACCGACCTCATGTCTCATCCCTTTTTCCATCATGCTTCACACATCACCAACCTCAGACTTGCATTCAAAACTCACCGTCGTCGACATATGCCAGGATCCCCCGGATTTGGAGCCTCACCTCCTCTTGGTTGAACCCCTCACATAATCATCAACCCGCCTCTCTCTTCGTCTAACATCACGGGCACAGACTAGTCCGGTCTTGCCAAGGGTCTAAGACAAGCATGCAGCTGAGCTGAGCAGAACATACATCTGCGCCTTTCAGCAAGGGATATGTGACAAAAACCTGTTGCTTGCAGACCTCACTCACCACTCACCACTCAAGCCAGTCCATAGTAGACACATCCTAGACATCCCATCAAAGCACACAAAAAGCAAAGACAAAAAACGGCTCGGGCCCCTCGGTTAATTCCCCTTCCACGATTCCAGAGATGGGCATCAACGATCG